ATCATTACTCAAAGTGTCGGTAGGTTTTGTACACCACCTGAAGCATATTGCACAGCTTTTTCTTCTTGTGGAGTAGAATTTACCTACCCATGTACTCCCAAATGAGTGCCATCCATGCTTTGCTCAAAGCAAAGGTTAGAGGGGCTAGTTCTCAGTATATAAACACAGAAGCCTTGCACCTCCACTCTTCTGTGAATTTAGAACTAAGTTTTTCTCTTGTTTTAGAAGCTTTTAAGGCTGCAAATAAATCAAGACCACCCCGCCGGGCTCCCACAGCACAAGCTATTCATCTAGAATAAATTCAGCTGTCATTTAAAGTTGAACTAGATTGGACAAAGAGGCAGCAATCAAGCCATTTTCATGTGAGGCAGGTAATTACAGAATCTGTTTAACTACAGTGATTAGGCACTGCTAAGAAGAAGCTCCAAGAAATCTCAAGCAACTTTTGAGAGGGGAAAAAAATAAGTTAACAGCTGTGTACCTCTTGCAATGGATTTGATTTTTCCTCTCCCCCCCACCCTCCCCCCACCCCTTATAACAAGCAAGCAGGTTAACAAGAGACAAAAGGCAGATAAGGGAGTGTAAGTGGATCAAGGGGAGCCTTGGGAATCCTCAAACAGTATGTCTGAATGTGACATTAAATGGTTCATTTGGTGGTAAGTGATTAAATGGGAGAGGATTTTCTTTATCATGGAAATTGGTCCTCTATACTGTTGGATCTATGCTAATGATTTGAAACTGAGAAAAAAGGACGACTGTGTTATAATGGTTTATAATACACCACTTCATGCTGGACCATGAGGAACACTTACATTAATACAGCCATGCAAGGAATCTGAACAGCAATGGATTTTTATTTGGCAGAATTATTCTCATTGGTGTTCAAAGTTCACAATCTAGAAAATGTTAGGTTTTTTTATACATTAACTTAAAGCAAAATGTGCCATTTTTAGTCACAACACAGAAAATAAAGGCCCTCCTATTATACTGAGAAGTCTCCATTTCCAAGTCTCTCTAGAATTAGCCTTGTGATGGGAAAAACCATACTGCAATCATTGGGGTAAATGCAAACCTCTATTTAAATCATTCAAATCCTTTAGAGCCCTAATTTATATTTTGCAATGTAAGCTATGTAAACAGGGATATTCCTTCAAAGAGGGAAGGCCCACTAGCTCAGCACATTAGCTAAGAGTTTCAGAGACTGGAGGTGTTCCCAAATTCATTTGCTAATTCCCTTGCCACCTTGAGTGACTTTAAATTAAGCTCTCACCATATTACCTCAAATGGCTTGATAAATTCATGCAAAATCTGGGAAGGAGGATTAAAATGCCTTTAAAGATCTCACTGGTGCAATACCAAAAATAATTCAAACTTTGAAGAGAAGAAAAGGTAGTTTCATATTATGACCAGAACCTTGGATAGAACCAGAAAAAGCAACACATTCAAGCCCTTTAGAAGTCAGAAAGGATCATTAAAGGGTCATTCCTTCCTGCCTTGAGTTCCTTGTCACCACTAGAAGAATAACAAATGGTTATAGTTTCATTTTATAGTGTAGCAAGGAGGATTTGAGAATCTGCAGGGCCTCATCTGCTGCCTCTTAAGCAAACATCTAATGTAATTTTAAATTTCACTTCATCATTGTGATAGCTTCAAGCAAACCCCACCCCAGGTGCCAATCCTTCCTCTCAAAGGCACACAGCCAGTGTAACAGAATGGGCAGAACCATCCCAAAACAATCAGCTCCCCTATGACTGTGATTTGTGACATAAGCTGCACTTATAGGGACACAGCTCCTCATTCTTCATTTGCTTTAAAGCAGTGCCTTGTAGTCTGTGAGTACAAAGTGCTGAAGCCACTTATTGTCACAGTGGTAAAATATAAGGTTTGATGGGGCATAGGGCTGAGTCTATAGGGATACTTAGGTGTGTGAAAGTGCAAGAGAGAAATGATGAGGTCAATACCTCTGAAAGCATCAGAGGTGCATTTTCTAGAAAGCCTTAGGCCCAAGTGAGGCATCATTTTCAAAAGTATGCCATGCATTTTAGAGCCTAAGTGTTCCCAAAAGTTACCATGACTTAGGCTCATACATCACTTGGGCACTTCTGAAGAGCACACCTTTACTAAACATACAAAAGTGCCTGTAGCAGCGAGGTACCTCTCTTTAAGTGTCAGCAGAGTGAGGATGTTTGCCTGCTAGGCACTCTTTATAAATCCCCCAGGAATCTTCCTGCATTTTCATGTGTGTAAATAAATCTCACCCTGTCCTCTAGTGTCCTTTAGAATCAACAGGACAACCCACACACAAGACCACTGTGTGTATCAATAAATCCCTGATAATCAAATCTCCCACTGATTACTGATATGGAATTACTGCTCAGGCTGGAGCAATGCCAGCTCAAGCACAGCCTACCAGCCTCAACAGCCCAATCTGACCTACAAGTGTTAAAGCAAAGGACACAGACAGATCATCTGGGTGATGATTTGAAAAGATGAAAATAGCTCTGCCAATGGAAACACCCTGGCCAGCCTATAGCTCTTCCAATTTCAATGACCATATTCCTCTTGATGTTTCATGGATGACAGAAAATGAGGACATAAGCACTAATTGTCACTCATGGTGTCCAAGAAGGTCTTCAGATTTTGTTTTCTGTGTGCTAAACTGGAGAACCGAAGGCACTATGAGGACAGCATTTCTCTGGTACAGGCATTTCCACCACAGAAATTCCCCATGTTACTCAATCTTCCTGAGATTTCCATGGTTCTACAGCCACAATAAACTGACCAGAAACCTTGTCCCTCCTTATCTCAGACTATAATTGTTTGACCACAGGACTGCTGTCCCTAAAATCTAGAAATTCTAAGAATTTATTAAAAATAAAGGAATAAAGTTCTGAACACTGAAAATTAAAAGTCAATATTCAACAACCCAGGAAAATGTTTTGCTTTCCACTTGCCAACTACATACCAGCAGGCCATACCTGCTATTTCTTCAGCAAAAGAAGATTTACAGTCTCTGCATAGTTTAGAGAGAACAGAGTAGGTAGCAGTGTGGAGGGGAACTTCTCATGTACTCATCAGCTCTCCCTTAAAAGAAAAGGTACCCAGTTAAAGCCTTGTTGGTCCCTAGGTCTTTTTGAGGGGTTTCTAACACTAAGTATGTGGCTTCAAGCAGCTAATGTGGAGGTTGAGAAAACTCCCCTGAGAGGAGCTGCAGTCTCCAATTGCAACATGACGTTTGCTCAGAATTGACAAAAGAAATGTCAGCCTCCTTTTCCTTTCCCTGGTACTCACCTAAACAAACAGATATGTGAGTGAATGTGCTGGCAAAGACAGTGTTGGCTGTACCCAAGAAGTACCATTCAGCCCTCTGAGGTTCTCCTCTGCTTACAGACACACAGTAGGAAGTGAGAAAGAGAGAATTATGGAGGCAGACAAATTATTTAAAATAATCATCATGGTTTTTTTATGGAATAGCCAGTGCTGGCTTTAGTTCTGGGGTGGAGGGGGAAGGATCTGTAAATTAAATTCACATGATCCACTCCTGTTTATTTGCTCGGTTATATAAACTGCCCACTGGCAGAAAGCTGGTCATTTGTAAATTAAAGAAAAATAATAAATAAATGTCATCTTAGTACAAATACAATGCTGATGAAGACTATTAATCTTACAGGTAAAGAAATAATCAAATTGATGACATGGTGAGGCAGGACTTCAACTAAACCCTTGTGGAATTTCACCTCTGGTTCCACTGGAGTTTCCACTGTTTTAACAACATAGCTGGGGCACATTGTCCTGCACAAAGGCGAACAGAATGTAATGGGTAACTTCTGAATTACATGGTCTATCAGATGCAATGTTCTCCCCAGCAGCGAAATGTCCATTGACTTTTACAAGGTATGGCTGGGCAGAGGCAATTTATAGCAGTGACTGTCCCAAATCTATGGAGAGAAATGGTTTCCCTCTCTGATTACCCAGCGTTTGGGCCTTGTCCATTCTTAATGAAGACAGCAGTAATTCCACTTTTACATACACTTGAGTAGAACAGACCCTCCAGAACAGCAAGCAATGGAAAAATGCTGATGTAGTAATTGCCAGCTCTCAGACAACAGCAGGTCATATATTGGTGAGTGTTCTGGGCTGAGTTCAGCCTTAGAAGTACTACCCAAACCCTCACCATTTCCTAGCAAATGGTTCAAACACTCCATGTCCCAAAAGCTAGGAAATAAAGCAAAGAAAAAGTCATAAAATAGCAATAAAGTTTAAATGCTGAATGCTGTTTTCCACATCACATTGGGAAGCCATAGGTTATCCCTTTAACTGTGAGAGGAAGCATTTGGGGCACAGCACATATAAACACAAATACCCCAAACATAGGCAGTGTGATGGCAACTGGGAGTCTATTATGGAGAATTCGTGATTCCCTAACTCAGGCTCCATATGACTGCTGCAGGATATGCACTACAATCTGATCTCAGTGTTTCTCACTTGTCAAAAAATTGAGAACAAAGAGCCAATTAGCTGTGGTTTGTTTTCTTTTATTTTGCTGGAAATAAAAGCTGAGCTATCATACAGAAAGAATTCCTGGTGTGTGTACGAGGCAGGAGAAGGAAAAAAACAATAAACAAACATTTTTACAAAATCTCAAATCATTGGACTTGCAAAATAAGGACAGCTGGGATGCATAATCAAGAGCATTAGAAAAAATTTATTTTATACAACAGAAACTTTCCTATTCTGACATTTGTTTTTTCGATATACAGTATAACCACTGACTTCTACTGCAAATCTGCAAAGATTTTAAAGGTAGCTTAGCTGCAATGGGACTGGATTTTGAGGCTGTCTGAAAGGCAGCCACTGTCACATAGTGGCCAGGTGCTTTCCAACTGTTAAGACAACACTGCTTTGCATTTGCTTGGAGATGATGATAATAGAGTGTTCTGTGACAACGGAATTAATTGCTCCTCCCCACCCTGTTATGCAGTAGGTAAAGAGACACTGGAGACAGTGAAATCCATCACAGATGCCTAAGATAGAGCACTGCAAGATAAAAAGGGACCACCTGGCTTCATAGTCTCATCTCCTGGGCAACCCAGTTTACTATGTTTCACTCCACTGAACAGTAAACCAAAAGTTTTGAATACAAAAGGTGGGGGGGGGGGAAGAAGACTACTTGAACCAATTACAAAGAGAAAATCTGGAGGGGTGGAGTAGAATTACTGAAACTGGAATGTAATTAGAACAGAGAAGTTCATATCCATGTACTACAAAGATGACATGATCTTTAAGGGACCATAAAAAAGTGGTCAAGGTTTTGGTTTGTGCCCTATTTTGTTGCACTGACTGCTAACAAGAACTCATAATTCAGGAAGTACCAGCAGCAATCCAAGAAGGATCCGCAAAAATTCCTGGGAGGTTTCCAGTTCAGGGATGGATCCAGCCCAAAACCTGATAGCATCTAATAAGGTACTACATGACTAGTTTATTAGGACAGCCTAGTGTAACTCAAATACATAAACACTGTTGCTCATAGCGAAGGAGGAAGCATTTAGCAACTTGCTTAACACTCTGCATACAAAAAAGCAATTAGTAAATTTATTTTCATCCTGATCTGAAATCTAGAAATATTAAGAAATATATTTGTGTATTAATGTTTTGTGTAAGGAATTGGCACCTACAGTAACTACTATAAGAACACAACTCTGCCCATTCCTACTGATAGTGATGGGACTATTTTATTACTGACACGTCCAGTGAACCCTTTCATTCCTTTTTTAGGCTCTATATTGAATGAGGAAAATCTTCTGCTTTTTCTACTGTCACAACTCTTTGTCTTTCAATGTGCTGCTCATGAACTGCTGAAGCTTATTATGTTTAAATAATAAAAGAATGGAAACCAAGAGAATGATTCTGTACAAACACAGATTATAAAGTTCTTTACCTAGAGCTGTGCTTAGGTCACTCCCAAGGGAGACTGAAGGGACCAGTCTGTGTGCACAGGGGAAAACACATTTCATAGCTTAAGACAAGTGCCTTTTACACTGCTGCCTTTTAAGCAGCAATGGGAATCAAGCAATGTTGATTTCTAAGAAAAAACAAATTTGGTTTTTAGCACAAACAGAGATAATTAAAGCACTTGCTCTAACAGGAAGCTGCATTAGAAAACAACTTTGCACTTTTGAGGACGCACACTGTGTTTCTTGTTATGCCAATTTATTTTAATTAATCAGAAAAACATTTATTTGAGGTATTAGCAATGCTGGTGCTTAGCCTGTCATTCTGCCTCCCCTCTAAATACCCAGAATGTCAATTCCAAAGCAGAGCACTTCTAACACAAGGAGGAATCTCTCCTGGCACATGGCTGAAAAGGAGCAGTATAATTCAATGGGCCAAATCTTTGTCCTTTCACTCACCTGGAGTAAAGCTGAATTGTGCTGGAGCTTACTACCACACAGAAATACAATTTAGCCCTTAGTGGAGTGTGAAGTGGAACCCATGGTATTGCAGAAGCCCATTCATCCTTGCCAGGGAGGAAGTGTAAGAAACCACAGCACCTCCAAACAGGCAAACTGTGACTCAAATTTAACCTTGGAGTGTCACACACAGTGGGAGCAGGCCCAAAGTCTCTCTGGGAGACAGAAGGAAAGTTGACAGTATAGCTGTATAGACAGTATAGGTTGGAAGGACCAAACAACTTGGACTGCACCCAGGTGATACTCCTGGAATACAAAGGGCAGATGAGATCTTCCAGGACCATTAAAGAAAAAAATGAATCAGAGAACTCAATCTCCTTTCATGCTTCTCTACAACACCTCTAATTTCTGAAACTGTCACTGAGTTTCAGGGTATCTGCATCAAATGATGCTCCCCTCCAACAGTATCTGGAAAATGGAAATGAAAAATACCATCTTCCATGTTCCTCTTTGCAGTCTTCATTCCAATAACGGGAACAACTGACCTGTCCTTACCAGCTCTTGTGCCCTACTGAACCCAAAAGCATTGGGTAAACTTTCTCAAAACAGAGGCAGACCCCCAAAACACATGTGACTGACATGACTTCTTAAAAGTTTCTGAAATTTAAAAAGGTAATTAATTTTGATAATATTTAAACAGCTTTCATTATTTAAATTACTATTACAGTCTATTTTAATAGTATGTTTTGGATCTTTTCTATTTGTTTCTCTGTACCTGTCCCATATACAAGGGACTCTTTTAAATTTTTTATTTTAAAATAAAATAAAGAGCACAGGAAATGTTATTTTAATCTTCTTTTAGTTGGACTGAGTTAATGGGTAACTGGGGAGTTCATGGGGCTGGCATAACAAAATAAACACCAAACATTTCCAGAGGCAGCAAAAACAAATGCAGGATTTGCCCTGACACATCCAGAAAACAAAGTGCTACCAATATCACCAGTAATATCTCCTAACTGGTACTGTTTGTCTTACCAGAAACATTAGAGACTGGTGGGAAAAAAACCAGCTTTGACAGTTGCATGGCAACAAGAAAAAGACAAGGGGGATGCTCCCTGAGGATGAGTGTGGCACAAACAGGGAGAAGACAGTAACTTGACTCCAGCTGAGCTTGCTGGGTGCTCCCAGCCTGACCTTAGACCAGCTACAATCCAGCAATTTCCACTGCACGACTCTGCCAGCTCTCTGCCAGTGCCTCTCGTGTGCAATGGGGCCAGCTTTTAGCATCCAAGTGGTATGAAAGCTCTCAGGATAAATAAACCAGAAGACTAACTCAAACAGTGTGTGTGAAATGCAGCAGCAAGTCCTCCAACCCAGGCAGTTTCAGCACTCAAGTGGCTCTGCAGTACAGCACTTTGGGAGCTGCTGTACACTACAGACTGAGACCAAGAAGGGAAACATCCCAAACTCACAGTGTGACAGCCCACAGCAGCATCGGGGGGAAAGCCAGCCTTTCCACAAGGCACTTAATAAAGAGATCTGAAAATAAACTGAACTTGCATATTTTGCTCACCTTAAACTCCTGCTAAAGTGATTTCAGATTGTGCCCTAAGTCCCATTTGACTGCTGATTTACTCAGAGAAGCATTCTCCTGTTAACACATGGAAAACTATTCCTTGTAACCTCCACAACTACCATATGCTGCTGTGACAGTGCCTACATTGTCACAGCACAGTGCCTTTTGTACATTATAATCACTACCAGTAAGAGCAATTTATCATATAATAAAAATTACCATATTTTAGCAGAAGAAGGAAAAAAACAGTATGTTAAAACTAATGAAGAGCCTTTTTTTTAATTACAAACCAGTGAAGACCAAGTAACTAGAGAAGTGTAACCAAGGAAAAAAATTTGCCCCTAACCTTTCACAATAATTGCTTTTTTCTCTTTGATTTTTAACCTTTTCTGTCACCACCAGCACTAAAAGCTGCTTTTTTTTTCCCCCCCTTTTGCTGGAAGAACAAACAAACAGTTGCCATTTCAGTCAAAGCAATGTTATTCTTTAGCTGGCTGGCACTAGTTTCAGCTCACAGGGCGGTCAGTTCCTCTGGCTCCCATCCAGCAAGCTGAATAAACCAGTCTGGCAGTAAGCACAACTCTGTTTGGGCTCAGAAATCAGTGCTTCAGACCTGTTTCCAACCTGAGCGCTTCCAATTTACAGCACTCCAACACCACAGGAAGTACACCAAGCCAATCTGAAACTCAAATATATTTGAAACAAAACTTTCTTCCATGCCTTTAGGTCTTTTTCTACACTCTTCTTCCTTCTCTCTTTAATGTTTGCAGGTTGGAATTTAGTGCTCTCTTTTCTGCCAGAAGTCTGGCCTTTGCAACAAATAACTTCATCCAAGTGTGCCATTTCCTCCAAAATGCACAGCAGTGGCAGAAATCACAGACAGATCATTATCATCTTTTCTGTGTTTCGTTTCCCTCCTTTTGTATGGAGCACTATAAGATTCAAGAAGAACCTTTCTGAAATTACAAAACTCATTTTTTACAGGCATGCAGTTGCCCAGTTCAGGACTTTCAACTCTCAGAGCACAAAATGGAAAACAGAAATAAACTTGTAATATAAGAGAAGCTGTGATTCAGCAAGTGCAAAGGCAAGCTGGAAGGATTGTAAGTGCAGGACTAGGCACTTTAGACTCCCCTTATGCTCCACTCTCTGGCAGAACAGCACTAACAGAGGAATTCCACTTTACTGGGATAAGGGACAGTGCTTATGAGAAGGGCAGGAGATGTGAATGCAAAGGTTGAGAAATTGTATTGAGTGCTGTGTTTCGGTGCTCAAGTTATTATCTTCTCTTTCCTCTCCTTATTTTTCACACCATTAAAATTCCACCTCGGACACCAGACTCAAAGTGAACAAACAAACATGCATTGTTTGCTATCCAAACCCACTACGCTCACACGGCTGCTGTTGAAGCTGCAGTGACACTTGAGCTGGGGAGCACAAACCACTTGGGCAGCCCACAGGGGTAAAGCCAGAGTGACAGATTAAGTACAAAACTAATCCACACATTGTGTTTCTGCTGCACAGGTGTGTTCAGGGATTATCCTTCTGCCATGCAAGTCACTTATGCCAATCTCTAAACAGCCTTTCTCTTTCCGTTTCTTGGTTTATATGAAGTTTTACATGGCTACTGTGCCAAAACCCTTCCAGGGAAATTATTTTGTAAAACTTCAAACATTATCTTTACCTCTTGTACACAATAATTTATCAATCATTGTAGCATGCTACAAGGCTGCATCCTACTCTCAGCACCACAGCAGAGCAAAGTTACCCGCATTCTTTGAAAGAATCTTAGATACTACTTCTTTGCCCTGCAAATAACAATTTGGGAAAAAAATAAATTAAAGCTTCAAGATCACCTCTAAATTCTGCACATAAATATTATGATAAGCCAAGATGGAGGGAAGTAGTGAAAAAGATGCAAGAACCCCGACACATGTTTGAAGTCCTCAGATGAAAGTTAGCACATACAAATTCTCATTTAGAAGCAGAAGTAATTTGAAGAAGTTCTACTTAATGGATGGCACAGAAAATATGGGTTCTGGTTTCCAACAAAAAGTGACATGAAGTAAAATATTTAGGCAATCTCTTGAGGAGTATGTAGCATTTCATAAATTGAAGGGCTTTAGTCAACTTTCCATGTGACAGCAACCAATCCACAGTTCAGCTGGAGAAGTGCTTGTGTTTTATCCCAAGATGGATTGGAGGAACTTCTGCCATGAACTGACACTGATGTAAACTGCTCAAGAGTTTTTACAGAAAAGAAATGGAAGACAAAACAAACTGCTTTAAATTGAAGCTACCACAATATTCAGCAGAAGCTGAAATTCTCTCTTCCAAAACTCATGTGACTAAACACTGGAATGTAATTTTAAAATAGGTAAGTAAATTGACTTTATAAATTCCACCACTATGTTTAAAAATCATTTTGTTCTCATTTCAATTGTGTTAGGTGTGTTTGTGTAGCTTTGAGCAGAAAACAGGGTATACTGGTTGTTAAAGAAATGGGAGAGCAAGAGGAAATGAATCCCACCATGGTGGTATCACAAAATGCCCAGGTGACCTCAGGCTAGTCAGTTGTGACCTCCGTAAAATGGAGATAATCACACTTATCTGATTCAAAGGGGTATCAGGAGACCGACTGTTTCCTAAATGTTTAGAGATGTACACGGGAAAGGCACAATATATAGTTACATAGGTTAGGTTTTGGAAATATCTACTAGTGACAATAGATTTTACCCATCTGTGTAAAAGTGTCAAGTACTGCTATTATTTCGACCTCATTGATAAAGAAAGAATGGGTGGTCTGGTAGATTGAAGCACATTTTGGCTGAAAGCTATTACCCTTTGAGACGACCTCTTGTTTCAAGTTTCATTGGTTTATCAGAAAAGTTACAGGCAGCAACAGCAAGGGTTTCTATA